AAACTAGTCAGGGGGGACCAGCAAGCATTGGGGGAGTCCCTGTTCCCCCAAGCACTACCAGGAGTGACCAGGAATAACGGTCACAAGCTGGCAGAGGGTAGATTTAGGCTAGATATCAGGAGGCGCTACTTCACTGTCAGGGCAGCTAGGATCTGGATGCAACTTCCAAGAGAAGTGGTGCTGGCTCCTACCCTGGGGGGCTTTAAGAGGAGGCTAGATGAACACCTTGCTGGGGTCGTTTGACCCCAGTACTCTTTCCTGCCATGGCACGGGGTCAGACTCGATGATCTGCTCCGGTCCCTTCCGACCCTGCTAACTATGAAACTGTCTCAGAGCCATGGAGATGCAGTTGTCCTGCTCATTCAGGATTGCCTGGTGGACTCTACCAGGTATCCCTTATTCTCTCTCAAGACCAGGGCTGGTATTCACTTTAGCTGCCCTTTCAGTGAAAGGAGGCATGAAGAAGAGAAAAGCACATGTATGTTAGGAGGTGGGGTACAAGAAAAGTGTAGGAGTTGAGACAAAAAGCTGGAAGAGTAATGATTTGTTTTATGTTTCTTAGCTTGGCAAATACCTCCTGGGCATGTTGTGTCAGCAGTTCTGCAAGTAAGTTTGCCAGCTTTGGAGGAATGAGGGATGTGTATGTGTTGCTTGTTTGCTGGGGCCCTGAGAAACCAGTACTACATTGCTTGGTTCTCCCAAGCAGACATCCTTGTGGTCAGTCATAGCCTTTGTAAGAAGAGATTATAGCCTGCGCATTAGTGAGAGTGGGAAATCAAGGTTGGAGCTAATAGTTTCTGACTGCAGTAGGTTGTCATTTGGGCACTACACGGAGGAAAAGGATGAAGCTAGTGAAAATCTTGTTATAGCTCTGGCCAAACTACCAGTAACTTTTGTCAAGGAGTGCCCTTGTTAAGTCTTAGTGGGTGAAGGAGAGCTGCTACTTGTGCTGCTACTATAAATAACTGCATAGAGGAGGACAAAATTCTCAGATGCATGCAGGACAGAAAAGCTCTAATTTAAACTTTTCATTTGGCTATAGCTGGGCAGATTTTTTGACTGCAGTTTAAATGCATAGATGCAGTTCCACATATAGTCTTTCATAACACTGAGCATCTGGGGGCCTGGTGGAAGAAGCTTCCTTATTTTATATGACATTGCCAAAGGCTTGGTAATGGGAGAAATAAAGTGGCCAGAGTAACTGCTATCCCTCAACAATACTGGTCATTTTGTCTGAGCATTAGGGTATTCAATGAGAGAACCTAGCTAAGAGATGTTCAAACTATGTGGTCTGAAGAGAAAGGTGGAACTAGCAGAGAAGACAGCACTTAATTTCTACCAGCTGTTATCACTGTGGACTGAAAATTAAATGGTATTTTAACCCCCACTCCCCATCATATATCACATGATTTTTCATAGTACACACAGTTTTAACCATTTAAAACCATTTTGGTTCTGATGAAAATTCCCTGTGATGAAAGGATCAGGAGGCTCTGGTCCTGTAGTTAATTTCTCTACATTTATGATTCAGAAACTGAATTTAATATAAAATTAAATAAAAAAAAAAGTTTGGAAATAGTGAGCAGCTTACTGACATTGCACCAACTTTTATATTAAGAAACATGTTTAATAGCCAAGACAGTTATCAAAATTGCTTCACCTTAACTCTTAGTTTTTCAGTTTCAGCTTCATTTGGAAGTTATGGTTTTCCTCTGCAGTAGTTCACTGGGAAATTTCCTATGTTTCCCCTACTTTTATTTCTCTGAAACTGCCAGCAGTGTTGTATGCAGTGTCAACAAGGAGACACTAGAGAGCAATAGTAGATGCTGGCTTGGGAATTAACTGTGCTGTCTCAACAGTATTGCACAGGTCTGCTTGCTTGGTGATGAAGAGACTAAGTAAAGGGCATGTGCCTAGACCTACTACGTGACAATGAAATGTTGCCTTGAGACTACTGGTTTGGTTGTATGGCAAGCACATACAAGAACTTCCACAAAATACAATGGGATTCCACAGGAACAATTTATAGGCTGAAAATAGATCAAAGACTTGCTTTGAACTCTCCAAACAAGCCTGTGGCATTTATGATGGTGTTTTCATGCTGGCACATTAAGCTAGTTCATAACTGTTTGGTTAGTTAGATTGTATCTTGACTGTAGAGGACTCACTATTCCAATAAGGAATTAAACCTCCAAAACAAAAAGTTATTAATTTATTTTCAGACACCATTTTAAATGAGAGAGGTTGCTGTTTGGTAAGCTCTCTGAGAGGCTTTAACCTAATCTTTCTTGCCTTTTAGACTACATAAAACAAGTCCTATGAATAGAGACTAGTTTCTTGTTACAGTGTACTTGGGAATGCAGCCCTAAAATAGTTTGCTGCTGTTTTACCTGTATAAAGCCTCTGATTTAAACAAGATGAAGGCCATTGCTGTTGGTGAAAGGTAAGCTGGGAGGGTTTCAGTGATGTTTGATACAAATAAAATATCACATTCATTTAGACTTTACACTTTCTAAATGCAATGCATCTCTGTAAGTGAAAGATTTACCAGTCTTGGAGAATTTGTAGAGGAGGTGCACCACAACTAACGGCTGAATAATTTTCCAACATTGCATTGTCAAGATGCTCTGACCCCTTGGAGGTGAGAAGAGATTCTGGTTTCAACTACGCGTTCAGTCCTTGGCTTCATTCCTTCAAGGATGCTAAATAGTGGCTATCAGAATAGTGGATTTATTTTATGGCAAATCAAAATCTGTATCATGGTAAACTCCTAACTGGCAGACTGATAGAACTGGGCTTCAGCTAGTAACCTACAGGTAGAAAGATTGAAAATTTAGGTTTGATAAGCTCTTTGTTAAAGCAATTTTACAGGTTTTATTTCCAGAAGCTTTTAATGGGGATGTCCAGAGAGAAAGAGACCTTTTGTGTTTGCTCGCTGTTTGTATTTAATCACATTTTGGCATTTTGAGGAAATCACTGATTTGGGGGCAGATGCAGAATTTTAATACTGTACAGAGGCCTTTGGGTCCCCCTTCCCCCCAGCCCAAAAGATCCCATGTTTCTAACTGTACCTCATTTTAAGTATATAGCACTGACATGGTACCAGTGACACTGCAGATGTTTTCTGTGCTAGAAGAAAGACCTCTCTACTCAGCTGCACACTGCAAGAAAAGCTTGAGTTAATGGTTGGCATTTCAGGAGATCTGGGCAGTTGTCAAACTGGTTCTTTTGGACCAAGAGGGAAAACATTCTAAAGGCAAGGGCCCCTTCCTGAGCATGCCTCGCTTGAAACTAAGCTGAAGCCGTATGAAATACTTAACATTGTCTGAAGGTCTCAGAGTGAAATGGGCACCAAGGTTAGTTTGACTGGGAGGTCAGGGAAGGTGTTGATACAACCGAAATAGTTGTCTGTCTTTTGTAAAACAGTAGATGGTGCTGAAAGCTAGGGCAACTTGTTTCCTAACCTAGTCCATGCTCTGTCACTGATAGGGTCTCATAACTTCAACACAACTGTCTACTACAGCTTCTGGTCATTTTAGGAAGTCTGTTATTTAATGAATAAGTAATAATTGTATAAAACAAGAAAACATCTATGTGCATTTTAGTGAAAAAGCAATCTATTTTAATTTTATCTTTATTTTATTATCTAGATTTACTGAGCTCCTCACTGATAAGAACCATAATATGTTTTTAAGTTTAATGCGTTTTTATAAAAATACAAACTTCAGCATTCTAATATGAAGTCTGGAAACTATTGTTTTTCTAGAAGAGGCACTTGTGAACAAGGGAGCCATGAAACCTTTTAGAATAACAATTTGACCTTATTATAAGTCCTGTGTAAAATATGAAATAAGAGTTTTAATTACAAAACTTGGACCTAGTCCTACTTGTTTAATATTTAATGTATCTTAAATATTTGCATTTTGAATACTTTTGCTTAAAAACTGAAGTTTGCTGCCTTCCAACTGCTAACTAGCCCAAGAACTATGCTTTTTCAAGCAAAACTCTGGATACTTAAACTTGTGATAGCCAAAGATGACCTGCTTTTAGTGTTGCTTCTGACTGTGTTGCCAGCATTAATCCCCATGTGTGGTACTTTGTCTAAACTACTGCATTGTTGATATGGTCAATGTGTCCAGCTTATCTAGGACAATACCTAATGAATGGTGAACCTCCAAAATTTCAAGTTAGTCTTGGGCAGATTTGTCCTGATTTTGGCTGCTCTGGAAAGGAGGCTGAAAACACTGCAACATTAGGATTTTTGTTTTATTTTCTGCTAGTTCCTGATTTTTGGCTGAGTTAAAAATAGCGGGAGGAAGAACCTTTTTAAGACTTCACAAAAGGTTTAGTTTTCATCTGAAGGAAAAATTTAGATCTGTTCTTATTTTATGTGGACAATTCATTAACATCAAGTGACTTGAGATTTTTACTACTGCCCCATAACAAATGTAAAAGGAAAGATAGGTCCCCATGTACCAAGGTTTAGGTTGCAATGGAAGCATGGTGTACTATCTACTGCAAAAATGAAAAATAGAATAGCAAAATATTTTAGAATAAATTGTTTAGGCTAGAGCTAGAATGTACATCTTAGCCATTGTGATGTGCTTTGCCTGCCTTGTCCCTGGTGTAGGGGAGCGTGTGAAGTTTGGATTTAATTAAGATCTAGCTTATGGGGAGGGAACTTAAATTACAGCAGAAAAATGGGTATTAGCTTAGCTTATTTTAGTGTTTATAGAGATTACATCTCAGACGCTGAGGGTTTTCTCCTCCTAAAAAGTAAGCTGGGCAGTGTATTTAATTTGCAGTGTCACCAATTCACTGATGACTTCACTGAGGAATAAGAAGCAGCTGGGCAAGGATTACATTAACATTTGATTGACAGTTATACATAGGTATCTTTAATAATTAGGAAGGCTGCAGAAATTATGAATGAGCATAAAGTAAACATTTGTGTATAATTTGCTATGTTTCAAAGTCCCTCAGCTTCATAAATGCTAATTTTATACAGTTACAAGGAAGTATCAAAATATTTTTTTTCCATGAACTAATGTTAGGTGCATCTATGTTTGCATTAGCGTGTTGTGATATATACTTGTTTATTAACTTCAAAAAGATGTGGGGGGGAGCATTTTGTTTGTCAGGGGGCGTGTGTTTGTGCAGCCTTTCTTATAAAGAGTCATCAAACCCTTACAGAAATTCCAGTTCCCAGATAACTTTACAGAATAAGCTCAAATAATAATTCATCCAAGATCTTCATCTCATCATATGACAACATGTAATTATTTGAAGCTATAATTTGTAGGCGCTTATCAAATGGTTTAATTTTATATCATTACCGCCTGAATAAAGCATTTTCAAGTTAACTTCAAGAGTCAGGTGTGGTGTTCTTGGCTCATGAGATTTACTATTTGTATTTTCAAAATCTAACAATATCAGCCAGTTTTTCTGAAGTCATCTTTGTTTCGTGGTCTCTGTCAGTGTTCTTGTAGGTTTCTTGCCTGTATGAGACAAAAGGCTCTAAATAGTTGCTTCTGAAAGTTATCTTTATGCTCAGATTGCTTTTATTGTTTCCTTTTCTCGTTAGCGTTACTTTCTATTTTATATAATGCTAAGCATTGTTTTCTAGAAGTTTTATTTTGAAGTAAATCAGCACATTCTGAATTTGTTATGTTTAATCTTAGAATTTTTAACCCAAATATGAATAATCCTTTTTCTGAATTCTTCCCAAAGGTTTCTTCAGCCAGCTCAAAACTTTTCAGTGAGACGCAAGTTACAGCCTGCAGAAATATTGCGTATGGGCAAAGTGTATGTCAGGTATGTTGGTTCTGTGTCCTCATTTCATCCTCAATAAGGACATGGGTGTCCTTTGCATTCTCAGAACTGGAGCACAGAAAACCCTAGGTTAGTGAAATAGGCATTGAGTTATGGGCAGAATGCGAAAAAAGGTAGCCAGGGGCCAAAGGCACTAATCCTGCTCTGAGGGGGGAGTTCCTGTGCCCTATGTCACTCTCACTCTTTTGGAAACCCCATCTGTTGTCGCTATAAACCCCTAAACAAATCAGGGGGAGAAGAGGTTCTTTAACATGGTTGAGAAAGTAAAACCTAGCATGAGGACACACTAATAGAATGGAGAAGGCACACAGCTCTAGGGGGCCAGGGCAATACTTCAAGCAAGACTCTGTACCAACCTCAATGAGTATTATGCAGGCATGTAACTTGGTCCATGGAGTCTTTGTGTAATATCTTAAATTTCCAGATTGTAAGTCACCATCCTTCAAACATAAACACTTTATTACAGCACAAAATTATTTAGCACAGCATTTTCTAAAGACATTGGATATCCTGAATGCATAACAGAATTAAATATTAGTTACAGAGAAAATGGCAAATAGTTTCACAAGGAAAGAGACATGGAAATGCGCGTGAGAGAGAAGAGGTGTTTTCAGATGAACAGAGGGGTGCAGGCTGGCCATTTAATGCAGCAGCTGTTGTAGAGAAGTCTCTTGCACTCACAGCAGCTGTAAAGCATGGAGGGAGAGAGGAGATCAGCATTAGATGCATAGGAAGAGAAGAAAAAGGATTAGTGAGACAAGGTGTAAGGGATCTTGGAACAAGTCCATAGAGGCTTTTAGAAATGAGGTCAGTGTTGAATTGGGTCAGAAATGAAAATGGCGGAGGTTGAGTTGGAGGTGGTTGCACTTCTTTGTATGTATGATAAAGTGGGCAGCAGCATTTATACTTCTGAACCCAGAGAGGTGAATTGCTGCTTCAATCAAATTTCTTTTAATATATTAGCACTTTTTTACTTTTAAATGTCAGACTGTTCCATGATTTAGAGGCAAGAACCACGCAGATAAAAGCAAACTGCCAAAATGACCAGGGAAGTCAAGTATCTTTGCTTTTGATCATTAAATTGATTTTTCTATATTCTTCTCGTTGCTGTATCCCTCTGAGAACAGTAGATTGAGAGCATTACGACTTTTTCATTTTGTTTTGACACTGTGCCTTTAAAATTTCATGCTCACACAAGAGAACTTGTCAAAATGACGGATAAAAGTTGACATTAATCTCCACAGCGTCACTTTTGTGACTGGCTGTGTTTGATTTCCCAATACCCTATAGGATCATCGTAGACAATACAGAGCACATTTCAAGTGAATTTGGTTACCTTTTCAGGGTGCTACTGAATCAGTTTTCTCTACGATATTGTTTCATTTGCTGTAGATTAAGTCAAAACCTGCTGCAAAAAGTGCTTCTCAGTTGTTTGTACTTTGACTATAAAATTGTTGCAGCCAGACGTTGTACAGTAGAAATGTGTTTGGGTCAAAGTTGACTCTCAGCACTATTTAAAAAAAACCCAGCAACAACTTCGTGCTGTGCTTTCAATTAGGGACATATCTCTTTGTGCCAAAGCAGCTGAGTTTTCACCTGGTCTGGGGCAGACTGATGTTTCTCAAAAGTTCAGTGAAAGGAAGGCAGTCCAGTCCTCAGGGAAGGTCTGCATTTTAGACCCTCAGACATCCTTGGGCAAGTTAGCCTTAGTTTCCATCTGTAAAACCGGTGTAATGATACTTTCTTACATTATGGGGGTGTCATGAGGGTAAGTGGATTAAAGAGCATGAGGCACTTAGGATGTTTGGGGCCAGGAGGGGAGTTGTGCATTCTGTGGATACCAAAGACAGATGGGCAGATAGATGCCTAACTAGCGTTTGGTTGCATAAAACCCTCCAGGGTTTAGCCTAGGTTGCTGTACTGTACACCAGACCCCAGTGCAGACAATCTGACAAAGAGTTTCATGGAATAATAGTATCACAGAAATGCAGAAGGGGGGAGGGGGGATTTCAAGAGATTATCTAGTCAAAGCTCTTGCTCTGAAGTGAATTCAGGTATATCTAGATCTATTCCTGACTTGTTTCTAAGAGTCCTCCAGTGACGGGGATTACAGTCTCCCTAGGTAACCTGCCCCACAGCTTAACTGCCTTGTATTCCTTCATTTACCCATTAATCTGCCATACCTCTGTGGCCCCTGCCAGACATTCATTTAGCTGCTCAGTTGGGATAGGAAGCACTTTATCCCTGAGACCAAAAATTGCCTTGCAATTAATGTCTCTCTATACCATTGGAAGACCTATGTTTTCTACAGTACAACTCCAGCAGTTTTGTCTCTGAAATATCTCTGTGGTTTCTTAAATCAAATAAAGATTGTTCATCAAGAAATAATTTTGTGCTTTGAATGTATTTATTTATTACAGTATTCTTGTGTTAATGCACAAGAATTCCCTATCTTCCAATCCTGGGGGAGTCATTTGGTATTTTTCATACACATTTTTTATGCTTTCAGTTTTTATCCATTTTGTTGATAGATGCCTTGTAAGCCTGAATAACAACTAACTTGCATTACATGCATTTATCATTAAGTCTTTCATCGTATTAGTTAATTGTAATGTGAAAAAATGACCTAAAGCTATATTTTAGGTATTTTGTGAAGAAGAGAACTAACACTGCTCTTTCTCACAGAGTACTCTAACAGTTAAATTGAAATTATTATTAAAAAGAAAAAAGTAGCTACAGTACTATGAAACTTGACCTTCTATTTCCTATTTATCTGCCATGTAATGCATTATTGACTGTCAGCCCTTTTTGCACAGGATCCATTTTGCTTTGTATTGAATAATATTAGGCATCCCAATGGCACTCAAGAAATTCCTATTTAACAATAATTATGCCTCTTAATTTATGCATGTATGAACTTAGAGCAGGAGTACCCAAGTAGGCATGTGGAAAGTGACACACATGAGGATTTGAACTAGGTTATTTAGTGAGCTGTCTTCATGTTTCAGGCTCCTATATTCTAGAGCAATTGATTTCCAAGCTTTAACACCTGATACGTCATGTTTGAGCTATGTTGTATATTTAGCTGTGCATTTTGAGCATATCATAAGCAGCCAGTTTGAAAAATAATCAGATCTTTAAAACCATGTTGGTTACTCCTGGAATTTTTTACTTGTGCACCATAGCCTAATATTTAGCATAATTTTGAGAGAAGTTTTGTTTCCTGCGCTATTGCGTTCCTTTTGTATTGTCACAAACCTGAAGTTGTATACGTGATATCTTGAACAAAATCAAAACAGTTGTCAGATTAAAATATACAATGTATGAAATAGAAACACACGGAGGCAGTTTGGGATGCAGTCTTTTATGATTAGCAAATGAGGTGATCAATTTATATTAGTAGAATTTAAAACCATCAGGGATCATAGATTATCTAGTAGTTCCTTCTGTGACATACCCCTAAATTTCATCCACACTCTGCTCATATTGTGTCTCCAGCCTGTGTTTTGCTAAAGCATATCTTCCAAATATACGTTTAGGCTGAATTTGAAAACATTGAAGTGCAGAATCCAGCACTTTGCTGTAGGCATCAAGAAAGAATAATTAATTTGCTCTGGGTAAGGGAGGCCTGGAGCGCGAGTGTCCCTGTCTCTGGGCATGTGCCGTAATCAAACCAATAGCTTATTGGGCTGAAAGGTGGGAAGAACTCTCCCCTTCTGCCACTCCCCTTCCAGGGTGAAATGGAATTCAAAACTGCATAGATGGGAGAGGCTGCAGTGATGTAGCTGAGTGCTTACCATCTAGGCATGTAAAGTGAAATGTGGTTTAGCCCCACATCAGGTGCTTTGAGCTGGTAGAGTTACAGCAGGTGGCTTTATCAAACATTTTAACAATCAGTACAATGTGTGGACACAAAGAAGAAGCCAGTGCTTCATAGCTTTTGTAGACACGTTTCAGAGGCATCCTTTAAGAAAACTGTACTTATTTATTAAGAAAGAACTGACTGGTGCTTAAAAGGGGTAGCACAGTCTTGGGTCCAGAGAGCTTATATGGTAGTTTATACAAGACACAGTGCAACAGATAAACATATGTACTTCTTCAAGCAGTCCCTAAAATCTTTGCTCATTGGGTGTGGCATACTGTCGTGGAACAAGCAAGTTAGGGAGCCAGGCATGCTTTAATGTTGGTCAGATGCTACCTCTTGAGGTTTGGAGGATATTCATAGGAGGAAAATGAGTGTTCTGTGGACAGTACCCTTGAAAGAATTTAAGCAAGCAAGGTGGCAGAGACAGGACAAAAAATGAGAATGGTGTTAGTAAAAAATGTGGCAAAGATAAAATTCCTCTTACAAATCTTAACTTCTGGGGGCATTTTCAGCATCCTTGCATCTTTTTCCTTTATACCATTGTTCACCAAACAAAACCCAGCCCAGTCTCCTTTTCTGGTTAGTATGCTGTATTTACTTGCGTACCACCCACATGTTTTTCCAAAATTGGGGTGCATATCTTACATGGAAAGCTGGTTTTCTTCCCCAGAATAGAAGCATGGAGGAGTAGATGCATAAATATACTGTGCTTCATATGGCTACTACCTTTTTCTCCCTGCCAGCAAGCAGGAAGAGTACAGTCCATAGGGAGAGGGATTCCATTTTAAACAGTGTGTCTTCATGAAAAAGCCAGCTTTAGGCCATGGCTCTGGAAATGTTTTTTTTCTACATTCTGCCTTTCAAAAACAAGGATATGGTAAAATTAGTGTAATTTTTGCTGCTTATGGCTTGCATATGTTTCTAAGTTTTGAATCTGAGAGACATGTAGATCTTTCACTGCTGTTTCATTTATTTACTGTCCAAAGTTGTTTATTATGTTGAGTTAGATTATGAAAAGCTGGCTACAGAGAGTATGAAATGAGAGTAGTTATGTTTGGCCATAAATGTTTGTCTATATCTGTGCATTTTTGAGAACATACCATGGTCATGGAGCATGATAGTGTCTCAGCTTCTCTCAAAAAACAGCTCTGAAACTCATTCTTTGTTCTCTTGAGTCCTTTTCAGTTGCATCTGGGGAAGTATGCTAACTCTGTAGTTTCGAGACTGATCTGAAATCCTTGATACCAAACTTTAGTTGTTAGACTTGTGTTATGTTAGTCTCAGAAACTATATTAAAAATGGGCACAACCCTAACTCTGAACTGAGGGAGGTGAGGATTCTGTCAGCCAGATGGGCATGCGTCCAGCTCTGCACTAACTTCAACAGAGGCTCACAGCTGAAGCACTTCAACCTCTGCCACTGACTTCATGTTTTAGTATTGCTACCTTTGGGATGTTCTAGTCCTTTTCTGCTTTATGTGGGATTTATGGTATTTCTAAAAGTAGATTGTAAATGTAAAGAAGCCTTAAGAGCCTTGAAGTTGTTACATTCTGTCCATGCAGTTGATGCCTGAAATAGTTATTCCTGTTCTGCTTTTTAAATCAGTTTTCACATCACATAGCAGAAGGTTACCTGGCCTGAGCTGCTCACTGCTGACAACTTAGCAGTTGCATGGAAAATCTGTATTCATCTTAACAACAGGTGGGCAATTTGGGGTAGAGGGAGGAGTGTGGTTGCACGTGCTTTTGACAGATCTGATTTGTTCAACAGATTCATTTTGTATGTTGGGCAGAAAATTCCCTCAAGAAAGCAGGGCCT